TAACAGTTTCATGGAACGTTTAAGCACTCTAACTGCCATTTCAAATGATCATGTTCACAAAAAAATGAAAACGACCTATAATTCTAGAAATTAAGATTGTGTTGTTCTAAAAAAAATAAAATTATTGAGTTTTCCTAAGGTAAATATCGATGGTTGTCTGCAGTAACGACACAACTTAAAATTACATGTTTTTGAGTTACAAAACGAATTAGGTTCAGTTATACCGGTGGAGTTATATTCGTTGAACTTATTAAGAGTTTCTACCTATCTTTAGTAAAAAGTCATAACATGAAAACTCACAAATCTGCCCTATAGAATGAAGGCCAATAAGCCGGAATAATTACGTTCCAAAAGATATTATTACAAAATTAAGAAACATACAATTTTTAATTGGCTCTAAAGCAAAATGTGAAATTTTGAGTTGTGTCGTTATTACAGAGGATAATCGATATGTACGTGTTTTTAAAATTAGTTGCTTAAAATTTCGTAGAGATTTGAACACTATGTATAAGCTAGATTGTATCTATTAAAGGCGCGATACCTTCAATTAAGTGTCGTTTGCGCGTTCCCTTTATAAGTAAAATATTCTTTATCAAAAACCTACCACACGTTCTTCTTCTTGATTCGAATAACGACCGTTTGCCTACTTCGACCTAGACCAAAAAGCTTCATCAATTGCCTTTTTCCTTTGCAATTTCACGCAAGTAGTGCATTCCAAGTACAGAGCTTTTGATTTCGTCCTCTCATTGTGCTCGAGGGCGCCCTCTCTTTCGTTTGGCACTAAAAGCTAATTTAAGCGCACTTTCGCATATCATTTCCTTCTCTCTTATCCGCGAAACCGCTGTGCTGGTCCCAGTATGAATAGATTATGAGCTGCTTTATGGTTTATTCCACATATCTGTGTCAACTCATATTGAGTTAGTTTTAACCATTCCGTCCCACCTAGGCTTTGTCAAAGATCTAAGTACGGAAGTTGTCCGTCAACCGTAGCCTGCTCCAATATAGTTTGTGTATTAAATAGACCTGTTTAATTATCTTCTCTTCAGCGCCCAAATTAATTACCAAAACTAGGTGTACACGGTAGATATATCTTGCTAGAGATTAACTGAAATAAAAATCTCCTATCACTATTTTGTTTACACGGTAGAGCAACTCCAAGAGATATTCACTCTACCTAGATCGGTGATGTGCACTACCTTGCCCGCGGGCAAAGCTCTTTTAAGCTTTCTATATATTTGGTATAGAAGCATGCAGAGTAAAAGCTCTCTCTGCCCATCGCTGACCTTGAGTAACAATAGAAAAATCTCAACTTTTCTCTATCACGTACTCTGCAAGCAATGTACCTAGTAGACAATTGTTACCCCTCGCTTAGAGTCAGTTTTCTATCTCGAATTGATGTCAACGCTTATTGTGTATATGTATGTATATCAGATCCATGATGTAGAAAATAAAGGCGGCACCATCCGCCGACCGCTAACCTTCTCCAATTTGACAGCATCCACCTATTCGCCGACGTCATAAAATACTTTTTCGCACAAGGGATGAAAGTTGAGATTTCAAATTGT